GCAAAAATCGCTGGTCGTCGGGGCCGCGAGTCGCTCGGTCGGCTGCGGCGAGGCCCCGGCACCGCGCGCTGCGCTGTCGATCTATGAGGACAAGCTCGCGGGGCCCCATAAGAGCTGGGCGGCGCGCGCTCGGGAGCGCGACTGGCCCGCCGACGCCGCTGGCCCCGCGGCTGCGGGGGCAGAGTCAGGGAACGGCGGCAGCGCCAGGAGTTGCGCTCCAAATGACGGCGCGGCTACGCTGAAGATTTGACTTGCAGGTGGCGCGGCGGGCGCGGCTCTGCGCGCGCGGCACTGGGCGGCGGCCGGCGACGCCGCCGACCGCGAGCCTCGGGCAGACTCGGGCATCTGCCGGGGGCTCTCGCAGGCAGGCCGCGCTGGAGGTGGGCTGGGCCGTGGCCGCAATCCTGGGGGGCGTCGGCGACCGCGGAAGCGACCCCTGGGATGCCCGAGCGAGGCCCAGCATCCAGGACGCCACCGACAGGCACCGAGCCGGCGCAACCTCAGAAGCTCGAGCCACCTCCGTGGGCACCTGCACTTCCGGAGCCTGCCCGTCGGCATCCCGCTCCGAAGTGGAACTTCGGCCCGCAGATGCTGCGCGCCAGGACCTGCCCGTCGCACCCTGGCGGCATCCCTCTGCGGCCCTCGCCTCCGCCGCTGGGGCGCTCCCCTAGGCGGCCCCGGCCCTCGCCCGAGAATGCGCGCCCGCTCTTCTCGATGAGCCCCATGACTATTCTGGGGCGCTTGTTCGCACGACGCCCCCATTGGCGTTCGCGGAACCTCGCGCGCAACAATAGCGTGGCGACGATCTGGGCTGGGGACAAGCCTCTGAACAGTCCTGAACGGTTGTCGACGGCGCCTCAGCGTCAGAACTGGAGCTGCTCGCATGCTCGCAGCAGGCCTGCGAAGCGTCTGCGGGGCGCCGCCCGGCGGCGGGGGCTGCGGCCTGCGGCGGCGCAGCGCTCGGCTGAAAGCCGCTGGCGCGCGCGGGGGCACCTCCGGCACCTGGGAGTTCGACAGCGCTAGCAGCACAAAGGCAAGACCTTGCGAATGCCTTGGATCTGCCGCGCGCGCGTCGCATTGGTTGCTGGCGACGCCGGTCGCGGCCTGCAGCGCCGAAGAAAGACGGCGGTGAAAAGAGGGCGCCGGCGATGGATGTCGCTGGCCGCATGCTCGACGATATGACCAGCGCGCCTGAACGTAGTTGCGAGACTGCTGAACTCGGGCTCTGTTGCTGGATATCGGACGCCGCGGCGCCGGAGCAGCGCCATGAATGGGCTCGGCTGGCCACGACGCCGACCGCTCGAAAAAGCAGCCGGGCAAGCCCCCCCATGACATCGCATCGCCACCGACGCGCGTGGCTCAGAATCGCACTGTGCGAAACCGCGAGAACAACGCGTCCGCATTGTTGCGTCGCCTCGAGAACTCGAAGAGCTGACGGGTAGTTTGTAGACGTAAGTATTCGCCAAAATGGCCGCACTGGGTCGCGAGGGTCGCGACGAGGTGGGTGACGGCGTCTTCCGGTTGACAATTTACAGACCCTGCTGTTTCAGATCTGTGAACGGGTAATTTCGCGAGCAGCGCAACCACGTTTCATCATGATGGCTGCGCACTGTTGGGCGCCCTCTATGTATGTACTGAGTGCGGTCCACGCATGTACGTCCTGCACCCGAGTGACGAAACGGGTAAGCGGACATTCGTTCGGGTGACCAAGAAGGTGGTTGGCGGACCACCGCCTCGACCTTGCTGTCCGGCTCCTCCAGGCTTCACGCAGGAAAACCAAGAAAAGACGATCGCATCGGGGATGCAGATACTGCCCAGTAATGCCAAGTTGAAGATCCCCCCGTTCACAACGCCGTCGATGTTGCCGTACAAGCGCCTTGGGACTCAGACCTGCACGGGGGCGAAAGTCACCTCGACACTGGGCAACGTCTCTTGGGGGACCACAAAAAAACAACGATGCTCAGGTTCCATGCGCTGGCAACGGAACGCAGATCCATGCGTTGTGCTGCACGATTGGGGCAATGCTTGAATTCGGATGGTGCGCAGCGGTCCTGGCTTACATCCAGATGGAAACGCTGCGCACTCTGAGTGGCTCCGAACCGGTTAGTATACCTGTTTCACCACCAGTGGCCGCCGCCAAGGAAGGGCACCAGCACTCGCCTCGTCGAGCCTGTGGGTGTGTTGGCACCCCCGAAGGGGTGCTCAAAAACCACCAGCACAGGCTGTTCAAGGAATGGAAGGCGGCACCAATGCAGAAGGTGAGGGAAGTGCGAATGCGCGTCCACATCCCACTTTGCGCGTCTTCTGTGGATCGCGAGCCGGGATTGCTGCCAACTCCGCTACCAACTAGAATTGCGGGGGTATTGTTGATGCTTGAGAGGCAACGTGGCGGCAATACTGATGTAGAGCGGCACTATTTTCTTCTCAGCAAAAAAATGCGTTCGCGCCAACGTGGGAGCCCAGGCAGCAAAGAGGGATCCGATTCGAGCGACGACGAAAGCGGAGGAGGAGGAAGAAAGAGAGGGGTGAGCTTGGCCATATTTCTCGAGTCCTGTGAGGGTTATGAGGGTTATTCGGGGCTTTGGAAGAGGAAGGAGGAGCAGTAGCAGAAGGGGAGGAGGATGGAGAGAAAAGGGAGGAGAAGACAGTGATGGAGTTGGCAGGAGTTGGCAGCGAGGCGCGAAGAGCAAGGTTGGAGGAGAAATAAGGAAAGGGGGAGAAAGAAGGAAAAGGGGAGAAGACAGTGAGGAGCGTTGAGGGAAGAGTAGATAACAAAAAGCGAGAGCAATAATAAGAAACGAGGGACGCGGATGAAGGAGAAGCAACAGAAGGAAATAATGAGGAGGCAGGAATGAAAAGGGCGGAGGGGGGAACAACGAGCAAGCAGCGAATCGCAAGGAGGAAAGGAGGTGATATCATACAGAGAAGAGAGAGGAGGGCGGCACGCTAGGCACGCTCGCGCCATGTCAGACGTCCTACCCCTTCCCCCCTATCAATTCCCATTGCGCTGATTTGTTCTCTATCCGCGGACGCGTGTATTAGCCGGCCTGGAAATCCACATAATATCTCATCGTGTTTTGCAAAATCGGACAATGAGAGCTGCGTGCATAGGGGGAGGAGGAGGAGGAGGAGGAGGAGGAGGAGGAGGAGGAGGAAGAGGAAGAGGAGGAGGAGGAGGAGGAGGAGGAGGAGGAGGAGGAGGAGGAGGAGGAGGAGGGGGTGGCGGGTGGGCAGGAGGATGGACACGAGGAAAGGGAGGAGGATGAGGAAGCAGGAACTGGAAAGGAACGAGTGGGAGGAGCAGGAGGACAGGAGGAAGGCGAAGAGGAAAAGAGGGAGCGACAGGACTTGGATGCGGAAAAGTTGCCCGCGCCAGGGCGAACGCGCCATCCTGAACGATGGGAGCACAGCGCCAATCCGAACATGAGGCACACGCTACACCGGGAGCACCACTTTGGAAACACCAAACATTAACATATTGTGAAAACACATGCGAAGAACCAACTCGACCAAATCCTGTCTAAAGAAGCAGGACGCGGAAGGGGGTGGATATCTTCCGAACAGGATTAGGGAAGAGAGGGGAGTAGTAGTCATATAATGTAATTGTAGAGAGGAGGTATAGGACGGAGGACGGAGGGAAGGAGAGAGAAGGAAGGAGGGGGGGAAAGGAAAGGCGGCAGACGTAGCGGGACGAGGACGGGGAGGTGGAGGAAAAAGAAATGACACCATGGCCGCAACCGTGCCAAATGCAAACCAACGGGCACCGGCTCGCACCGTACTGCGCCGACCGGCCGTGGCAACGGTACCGATCGATACCGCACCGGCCTCCGCTACCGTGCCGAACGATACTGTGCCGGTCACAACCATCGTACTGGACGATACCGTACTGGCCGTGGCTTCTGCACCGGACGATACCGTACTGGACGATATAGCGCTGGTCCCAGGGCGGGACCCAAGGGGCCTCTCGGGTCCCGCAGGGACCCGGCGGGACCCCTTGCACGGGACCCCCTGGGTCCCGCTGGGACCCGACCGAGCAACCAAGAACGGGCGAGGAGAACAGCGTAGTCCAGGGAATTGTAGGCACAACCACGATTGATAGTAAGGACGCGCGATAACGATGCAAGCCCCTTGGACGTCCACGCCGAATCTTTCCGAGCGGGGCCGGCCCCTGCGACCACCCCCTCAGAGGGTCAGATGGTCAGCGACGACGACGACGAACGATGCTCGACGATCGACGACGACGATTCGACGAAGACGACAATCCACGACGACGATCGACATTTTTACGACGACAGCCCCTCCGCGACGCCGCCCGCGCGGGCCACCCTGTGGACGCATGGAAACCCCAGTCCTGGGACCCCTCGGTCTCTCGGGACCCCCCCGGGTCCCTCAACGACGACGACGACGACGACGACGATCGAATCGGCAAGAGTCGGGGCCACGTAATCCCACAACCGTACCGGTCACGTGGTCCTGCGACCGCACCGGCACCGGTCCCGTGGGAGCTTGATAGTGTACCAGTGCTGACAGCACCAACGGTCCTAACCGGACTGTGCTGGCCGTACCGACACCGCGTGTTCTTGCCACCGTACCGTACCGTACAGCACCGTGGCCATGGTGGAGGGAGGAGAAGGAGAAGGAGAAGGAGGAGGAGGAGGAGGAGGAGGAGGAGGAGGAGCAACCATCTCCACGATGCTCCCGCAGGGCCTCAAGACGGCCCAGATGGCCCCAAACTGGGCCCAACACGGCGGGGAGGAATGAACGAGGGGAGTCCAGGCAAGCAACGCCCTTAAGGGACGCGAAACGAGGAACGAAACCCCTCCCCCAAAGCACCTGGACGCATGAGGAGCACTGGAGGGACAGCCATGGAAGGACCCAAGGAACAGCGAACCGGTTTCGAACCCGAACTGCTCCTTGTTCCAGAGTCGGGGTGGGTGGGGTCGGGGAAACAACAACAACATGTTCCAGCGTCTTGATTGTAGCCTCCCCTCCCTGGGTGCCTGATCTTCTGCAGAGAGACGACCAATTCCTCTGGCGGGGGCAGCAGACCCAGAGCGGCAACAAGGCTCTTTGAATTCAACAAACCGCGCTTGAATTCAAAAAGCAGCCTCTGGTTTTCCACATGCAAAGGTATTCTTTTTTTAATTCAAAAAAGCACTGTGTAACTTCAAACAAAAATTCGATTCCGTTTCCCCCTCCCCCTCCTCCGCCATCATCGTCCCCATCGATGCCCCCCCCCCGACTCGTCTACACGCCTCACCCCTTCCGCACTCCACATTCCCAAGGGCCGACCCGTATTAGTTGCCGATCTATATATACTATCCATAAGTGTGTGTATGTATAAGCACACGTATGTATGCATGCATGCACGCATGTATGTTTATGTGTAGATTTCAAGCTATATGTATGTGTATATACGCTTCGCAACTCTCATATTCCTGCCAGGCTATCAGGTCATTCAGGGCGGCGCTGGGCTAGTGAACGGGAGACCGCGACAGAGCCGAGACAACTGACCTGGAAGCACTCCCAGGTGACATTCCAAGCCTGTTAAATTTGAGAAGGACGAGAAGGGGGTGGATGGCGGGCCGAGAGAAAAACTTGAGCCCATATGAGTACAGAGTGCAGAATGACGGCATTCAACGATCTACTCAGCATTCCCTTGCAAGCATGTTTTATGCTTCCCAGCTCTCATTTCCTGCCAGACTATCAGGTATTTCAGGGCTGGGCTGGGCTAGTGTGCCTGTGAAGCTACACAAGCCTTTGCGTCCCGAGCACCTGCGGGAGTACTGGGCAAGCTCAGGGAAGTGCCGCGCTACGAGACCAGTGGACCTTCTCCAACGGGCTCCAAAACCGCACGGGTCAAACGCGAGAAATTCTGCAGAGGACATGTTCCACAAGCGAATTATTTTGGGATGAAGCCAGAGCCTAGACAGGCGAGGATTCTCAATGACGACTGGAATGCGCAGACGCAGCACAGCCTCTAGAAAAATACAAAGCGAATCAGCAATTTCATTGCCAAGCTCAACGTCTCTTCCATCAGCAGCGGACAGATTTGGAAAACCAAACAAATTCTCGCTGTCATCGCGGATCTTCGGTCTGGGCGGCAGGTCGCGAACCCTGGACCACGTCGCACATGCGATGGCGACCCGCACTCCGAGGCAGCGAGCCGCCAGGCCCTGCCTCCAGCCTGCCGCGGCCAGCTGGCGCCGATGCTGCGCCATGCCGCACTGCGTCGCGCGCCTGGCCAGCCACCTCATCTTGTCCAGGCTCGCAAGGTCGGCCTCTTGGCTGAAGAGGGCGTCCCGCGCGGAGCCTTCGATGCTATTGCGCGCGAGCGCCTGGCTGACGCCCGCGCACCCGGCGCAGGTTGAGGACGCAGCGCGGCTAGAAGGCGGCCTGGCGGCGGGCAGGGGCAGCGAGCGCACCCGATCTTCGATCCAGGCGACTGCCCTGCGGGCGAGGCCCTGTTGGTCGTCCGAGAGGCGAGTCCACTCCTGCTGAACCCTTGCGCTCGCCTCGTAGCGCCTCGTCGCGCCCTCGGCCAGCCATCGGCCTCGGCGCTGGATCTCCGGCAGCGCGCGGCAGCCCGCGGGGCGGTCGTGGGAGGGGCCGCCGTGCCGGAGCTGGCACTGCACGCACTTGGCGTCGGCCGGGAAACCTAGCGGGCGCGTCGCTGCCTCCCAGAGCGCCAGGAGGGCCGAGGGCTCGATGTCGAACAGCTTCTTCCCAGGGTCGCCCGTCTCGAGCGTCGCCACCGCGGCGCCGAGGCCTGGCAGGTACTTCGCGTCCAGCAGGATGACCTCGTCGAAGAGGCCGATCTTCGACTTGTGGCCACGCGCGGCCGGGTGGAGGTTCAGAGCCCACCACCGACTGCTCGCGCACGGCGGCGCGAGGTCCCCCCCCCCTCAGGGAGCGCAGGTCGATCGGCCGCAGGTGCGCGGTAAACGTCGCGAGGGCGGCCAGGCAAGCGACGACCGAGTTCAGCTTCTCGGCCAACTGCCTGGCGATCCAGCACGCGATCCCCCGCGGGATGGGCGCCGGAGCGACGCCTGGGCCGAGGTCGGTGTAGCCCTTTCAGCGCTCTCTGGAAACGCGGGGGGCCCGGCTTTCCCCGTGCTGACAAATCCGCAAGATGTCAGGCCGCCGCGGCGTGCGCCTTGAGCAGGTCGGCCTTCTCGAAGCCCTCTAGAAATAGATAGTCCGCGAAGTCCGTCATGGCAGCGTCGACGCTCTTCACGGAGTCCAGGGCGCACCCGATCGAGATCGTATAGGCCAGGAGCTCCTTGAACCAAACATTGTAGAGGCCCTCCGTCGCGCTCGCAATGGCATGCGACTCCGGAATGGGAACCTGGCCTGCTGCAGCCGGAGGTTCGAATGTGCCGAAGGTCGCGGCCCTCTTGGACCTCCTCTCGCTTCGGCTGCTTCCAGCTGCGGCAGCGGCACTCCAGCGGCCTCGCGATGCAGTCGCGAGGTGATCCCTGACGAGCGCGTGGCCACCGCCGTCCGCGCCGCGCCTCTCGACGAGGGCGGCGGCTTCGGAAGCCCGAGCCCGAGGCGGCGGGGGGGCGGCTTCCCGCGCGCTGGGGGGGTGGCCCTGCCCAGCGCGCGGGCCTCCCCCCCATCGCCGTGAGAGGCCATCCGCGGTGTTCTTCTCAGAAGGCACCCAATGAAAATGCCACTTGGCACAGCTAGCTAAGGCCAGAGCCGAGGCACGACGGATGAGGTTGAGGATGGAGAAGGACGCAGCCCGCGACTTCCCAAAGGCCATGGCGTTGCCCAGCTGGTCCCCCATGATGAGGTGGGGCCTCTTGAACCCCTCGATGGACCTGAGACCGCGCCTGACGCCCATGACAATAGCCCTCGCCTCCAGAGCGGGCATCCCCTCGACGTCCCTGAACCTCGTAGAGATATCCCCTCTCCAGATTTCCTCCTTGAGCATGCTATCGGGGGCCTCCTGGAAGTGCGGGCTCTTCTCGAGCATCTCCAAGGAGCCTCCTGAACCTTCTGGGATGACGGAGCTGGGGTCCGGGAAGACGCCCAGTTTTCCGAGTGCGCTGCGACGGGGCTGCGACAGAGGGCGCTTGCCACGATAGCGCCAGCGCCCTGAGACGCGACCCGCGGCCGCAACGCTGGAAGGCTCAAAAACTGCAGACGCGCCTGCGCCAGTCTCGCAGGCGTCTGTCATGGTAGCTTGTGGATGCCAACGCATCGTAAGGTCGGCTGCGCAGACTCCGATGAGGCCCCTCGCCCAGCGGGCCTCTTGCGCAGCGACGGCCACGCTCGTTGCCTGCCCGAGCCAACCTTGTCAATGAAGTCGTAGGTGGACCTGAGGGCGGCCAAGCCCTCCCTGCGAATCAGGAAGAAGTCTACGACGTGGCCAGCCCACCTCTGTACTGGATGGCCCGAGAGACGGGCACCACTCTCGATGACGCTGCAAACCTTCGCGAGCCGCTCTGCCCGCTCAGGCTTGTTGCAGACGCTCCACCTGTCGCCGCCGATGCACCAGCCGAGGGAGGTGACCCTCACCGAGGCGTCGACCTCCTCGTGGACGGGGAAGCATCTCGCCCTCAGGTGAGAGACCACCCTGTCCTTGACCAGCTGCACGGCGCTCTTGTCCAGGCCAAAGACGTTGAGGTTGTCGCAGTGCGGCAGCGCGCCCAGCTCCGAAGCGACGTCCGGAATCGGCCCGACACCCCTCAGCAGGGCGCACTGAGCGAAGCGCCTCAGCGCCTCGTCGATGAGGTTCTCCAAGATCTTCTGGCCAACATAGAACGCCCGGCTCCACCCCGTAGGAACAGACCGAATCATGGGCCAGACAGGCTCGCGATCGCTCAGCCCTTCGAGACCGCTCACGAAGGTCCGCGCCTCGCCGCGCGAGATCGGCGGCAAGCAGAAGAAGGGCTGAAGGTCCGGATGGTTCTGGATGGTGTGAAAATACTATTTCTCGTCTGCTGCGGCTGTACGAAGTGGGCCCGCGCCTTCGGGCCTCTCCAGCCTCGACCAAGCACCCCCTGTCCCCGCATCGAGATGCGGGGGGGGGGGGGGCGAAAGTGGAGGTTGCTGACGCGGCAGCCCATCGCCACGCAGAGGTCGCCATTCTTCTCGGCAAGGAAAAATGGCGCGCAAATCTCGCGAGGTCGGCACGCCCAAGAAATCAGCGATGCGCCGTGCAGGTCCAAGGAAAATCGGAATACTGAGACCTATCCGAACGCGAGACCTCGTCCATGTAGGGCATGATCAAACTCATCTTCTCAGACCTCCAACCCGGGTCGTCGGGGCCTGCCAGCGTCGTCTCTGCAGGCCGTTGTAGCAAGTCCCTCTCCAGCTCACCGGCCACCGAGGTCAGCGGAGCAGAGCTCTCCCCAACCGCTGGCATCGACACCAGAGAGCGCTTGCACGGCTTCACTGCGGCACCCTGGTCGACCCCGGCGCGGTCGACCACGCCGGCCAGGAGCTCGTCGGCGGCCCCGCGGCGACTGCATTGGCGGGCGATGACAGGGGGGGGGCCAGCTCGAGCAACGCCCCCCGCGAGGTGAGCTGCGCCAGTGACGGCCGAAGGGTTTCTGATCCCTTACCCGCGCAGCTCATCTCATTCAAAGCCGCGAGTGCCTCATTGACCCTCTCCTCGACCCCGCGGCGACGCGCCGGCCTCCTCCGCGCGCAGTGCGAGGCCCCAGGAATCGTGGGAGGAGCGGCCGGGACAGGAGGCACAGGAAGTAGCTCTCGGCGAGGGACTCGACGATGCTCTGACGCCGTTGGCCCGAGCAGCCCAGACGTTGCAATCCGAGGGCGGCCCTCATCTCGCCCGAGGGGGCGCGGGCTGGCCAGCCCCCGCGCCCCCGCCCCATCAGGGGCGCTCCTTGTCGTTATTGCCATCCGTCTTGCCGCCGCCAGTGTGCCTGCGCAGCCGGCGCTCCTCCTTGGCCTTCCTCGCCTCCTTGGCGACCTGCGCCTCGCCGCGGAGGTTGTCGGCCACGCGCTGGCGCAGCTGCGGGTCGATGACCACTCCCATCCTCCGCGACGACCAGCCCATGTAGCGGTCGGCTCCGCTGCGCCTCCAGCGCCAGCATGAGTGCGCGCATCCTCGATGAGCCGGAGTCTCCTGGCGATCAGCTCGCCCGACTTCAGATTGGGCACGTTGAACAGGTCTACGCACGCCATCGCCTCCAAGATGTGGGAGAGCGCCTCGTGCTCATACTGCCACCTGTCCCCCTCCTGGATCTTGGCAGCCACCTTCCAGTGCTCAGACTGCGTGATAGGAGTCTGAGACAAGGAGGCGGTTTTCCGAAGCCGATCTCAGCAAGTGCCAGGGCCCGCAAGGTCAATGCCGCCCTCACTCTGCTGTACTGGTTAAATGGCACGAGACCACAACCATTGGGGATAACGAGAAGCGGCATCGTCCCAACAGACACCCACCACCATCTCGCCCACGAGCTCAACCACGACAAACACAGAGGTATCCCAGGGGCGGCGCGTTGCCCCAGTGACAGGGGGGCATCCCACCATGCGTCGTAAGGCCAAGACCGCCCTCGGGCAGCTCATCCATCATGCGTCCGACGGCGTCGGGGAACGTCCTCCTGCGGCGGCCAGTGCCGTCGAAACGGACTGGGAGCACCCTCGAATCATCGTTAACGTAATCATCGAAATCCTTCCGATCGATCTGCCTCAGCATCACGGTGTCGCCGCCCTTCCAGCGGCGTCAAAGCCTTGTCTCCGATGACATGGGCTTCCCGCGTGAGCTCATCCACGATCTCACCACGGCGGAGGGAGCCCTCGTCCTCGGCGACGACCCACACCCGCCCCGGGGGAGCCCTCCGCTGCACGGGCCCAGATTGCCGCGCTGGCGCCCTAGCGAGGCCCCCGACCTGGTCCCCAGGGGCGGCTGCCACCCGCACGGGGGGGCGATCCTGCGCGACGCCGCCGAGCATGATCAGGCTGTCGCGGACGAGCGCCCTCACCGCGGCGGCGGTCGGCCTCCTCGAGGGCCTGTAGCATCGATCGTTCCGAATCCCAGGATGAAAAGCGCCCTGCGCGCCGAGCCAGTGCACAGAGTAGATATCTTCACCAACTGTCAGGTCGATGTCATAGTGGTCGCCGCCAGGCGTGCCGATGGACACCACGCGTGGCAGCCCTTGCTTCGCTCCCGTGATGAGGGCTTCGTGATAGAGCGACTCGACGAGCCGGGCTCGTCGCCCCCGTCCAAGTTGCACCTTATCAGGATCAAGTCGCCAACCTGCGCCATGCCTCCTTAGAGGGTGCGTAAGACTGCCCGATCCCAAATCGCTCTCCGCCGGCGGAACGCCTCGGTCCTCAGCGCGGTGGCGTCGGCGTCCTCCTCCACGGCGGTGGGCGGGGCTTGCTCGGGCCGCGCCTCGGGCGCCTCGCGCTGGCGAGGCCGGCGCCAGGAGCAGCCCGCCGCCGCGGTCAGCGCCAGGTTGCACGCACTGAGGTAGGAGGAGTCGGCTTGCGGGGGGGGTCGGGCGCGCGGGAGGCGGGCGGAGGCTTCGCCGGCGCCCCGCGCCCCTGGGGGGCTCCATGTTGGATTTCCCAGGCTGCGCCAAGCGCGCGCGCGTTGCTTGCCCGCGCGCTCACATTCGCGCAAGCGCATCCTAAGAAACTATGATTTGGATCGGAACCGGGCGACAACGGGCACGGGGCGCCTGTCAAGGCTGCTTCTGGGAGCGATTGCTGCTGGCTCGACACGCGCGATATGCATGTAACGACATGCGCGATATGCTGCCGTCCAATCCAACGCGGCAATGGCGCGGCCCGGGGCGCGCGGCCGTCGCGGCACACGGCGGTCGACGTGACCGCTTGGGGCGCGCGATCGGCCGCGCGGTACTTGCGGGCCATTCGGCCGACGTTGCCAGGTCGCCCTCAAACAGCCCGCCAGGAATGCGCAAATGCGCAATGCGCCAGCGCGCCGCCAGGATATCGCCCTTAAAACAACCTGTTCACTCTGAACGCCGACTGCGCGCCTCGCTGAACCAGCGAAGTCGCGCGGCGCGCCCGCGCCGCGGACCCGCCGCAATGAACTCGCGGGAAAAAGGCCTCTCTCCATGGGTTCTGGCACCGATTCTGGCCTACTTCCCCGTTCTGGCCGATTCTGGTTCCATCGCCGATTCCTCCTTTGATTCCGTATTGATTCCGTACTGATTCTTTTGATTCCGCTAGAATCAGGGGTCGCAGTTGTGCCGATTCTGTTTTGATTCTGTACTGATTCCGTACTGATTCCTTTGATTCCCCTGTGCCCCGGGGACCATCAGGCCGCGGCCCGAGCCCCCGCCTCGGCGGCATGGTTTTTCCAGGAGCGCGGAAGAGTTTTGAGGGGGAGGGGGGCGGGGGGGGGGGCGGGGCGATTTTTGGGGCGCATCGGGCGGCCGAGGCGCAGATTTCCGGGCCCAGCGCGCACGCCCAACATGGCAGGCGCGGGCGCGCGCGAGTTCTCGACCGTCGGCGCGTCTGTAAGTTCATGCCCCGCCCCGCGCGCGGGAATGGAAACTTAAGCTGCGGTTTCCACTTGAACGCGCGGCCGTCGCAACTGCATCCCAGTGCTCAGCGCGCACAGCGCGCGAGCAGCATGGGGCGCTTTGCGTTCTCGCATGAGAAGTGCGCGGAACCGGACCGAACGGTCGGCGGCGCCCGCTCCTGCGCCGCGCGCGAGGCCATCGCGTCAGCGCGGGAGGCTACAAGGGCCTGGGCCCTCGCCCTGGGGCGCGGGCACAGCGCGAGGCCCGCGCGGGTCTCTCGCGCCCAACATGCGCAACAAGGTCAGCCCGCCCGCCGGCTGGCGCTCGCGGGCGACGCGACGCCGGCGCCGACTGCGAGGCCGACTGGGCCCGGAGGATTCTTGAGAGTCCCGGGAAGGGGCAGCGGCCCGCGATGGAATCGGCGCGGTCGTTGTAGGCCTTGTGTTTGCTCGTCGCCGCGTCCTTTTTCGCGTCCGCCTTTGTCGTCGCCTTGTCGCCCTCGCGTTCGGCTGTCGCTGTTGCCTCGCGTGGGGTCGTCCTGGCATGTGCTTGTCGGCGTGCTTGCTCGCTCGCTCGGCGTCGCGTTGCCTCGCTTTTCCCGTCGCCGTCGCCCCTGCGTGCCCCCTTTGCTTTCCCTTCCGCCGCCTGCCGCTTGGCGCCTGCCTTGCTGCTTCTGCCTTCGTGCCTGGCGGTTGCCTGCTTGCCTGCCTGCTCCCTCGTCGTTTTGCCGGTGGCTCGTCTCTCTTGGGCGCTGGCCCTCGCTGGCGCGGGCCCTGTGGGCACCTCGCTCGCGTCGCCTTGGCCTTTCGGCCAGGCTGTGCGCCAGGCTCGCGGCAAGGGCGCTCCTGGTCTCGGGCAAGGCGCAGGCCCCAGGGCCAAGTTTCGTGCGGGGGAGGGCGCAGGCCTTAGGATGCCTGTATTTTGGGTCGGGCGCTGGCCCCGGGACCCGATCGTGCGTAAGGGGGAGGGCGCATCCCGTTGATCCCTGTCTTGGGTAGGGCGCAGGCCCCAGGGCCCGATGGTGCGAAGGGGGGAGGGCGCATCCCGTAGATCCCTCTCTTGGGTAGGGCGCAGGCCCCAGGACCCAGCGGTGCGAAAGGGGGAGGGCGCATCCCGTTGATCCCTGTGTGTCGGGTAGGGCGCAGGCCCCAGGACCCAACTGTGCGAAAGGGGGAGGGCGCATCCCGTTGATCCCTGTCTTGGGTAGGGCGCAAGCCCCTGGACCCCGTCTTGCTGGGCACCGCTCTCCTCGCGGGTCGGCCCGCGGGCCTTGTCTCGGGCAGGGCGCTGGCTTCTGGCTCCTCGTCTTGCGTGGGGGAGGGCGCTGGCCCCTGGTACCGTGTCTTGGGTAGGGCGCAGGCCCCAGGACCCAATCGTGCGAAAGGGGGCGGGCGCATCCCGTTGATCCCTGTCTTGGGTAGGGCGCAGGCCCCAGGGCCCATTTGTGCACAGGGGGAGGGCGCATCCCGTTGATCCCTGAGTCGGGTAGGGCGCAGGCCCCAAGACCCCGTCTGGCTGGGCTCTGGCTTCTTCTTGGGAGAGCTCCCGGGCCTTCTCTTGGGTTGGGCGCAGGCCCTGGTCTTCCCCCTCTCGTGAGGGGCGCAGGCCTGGCCGCCACCTCTTGGGGCCCCGCGCAGTCTCCGTCCTGTGCGCGCTCGCACCGGCAGCTCGCCGAGCTCGGGCGCCCAAGCTGTCTCGCGCCGCGCGGCACCGCTCTTCGCGATGGGCGACCTCGGCAGTTTTCTTGGCGCCTTGGACGGCGCGTCGGCGCACGAGGCCGGTTGGCTCGAAGCCACGGTGACCGCGCTCAAGGGCCGAGGTGTGGCGACGATCGCCGATTTAGAGGGCGCGGCATTCGAGGATTTCTCTTTTGTCGACAAGGAGCTCGACGCCGCGCAGAAGCGCCTCGTGCGCGCGGGGATCGCCGCGGCGAGCACGCCGGCGCCGGTGGCTGGGGGCTCGGCGGCGGCCGCCCCTCCAGCGC